GTCCAGCCTTGCCCGAAAGTGGGATTCCTCAAACATGGCATCTGTTCTGGGCCCTGGAACAGACTGACGAGAAGAAGCAGAAAGGTTTGGTCTGCAGCCCACAGCCTGGACTCTCAGGGACAGCCGGGAGATTGTTCTTGCAGGTGTGGACACCCTTCTAATCCCGATTACTACCTCTCTTGATCCTGGCAGGAATTGGGGTTCCACCATGTCACCCTCGTGGAGCTTTCATTAGCCTTATTTGGGATACCAAGGGATAAGTGTCCCCTGATTTTACAGAAAGATCAAGAGCCAGTGAATAGGGTTTCCCAGCAAGAGACATGGAGCAGCGCACCTGCAGACGGTCCACGTGCTCGAGGCTGAAGACAGCTCGCCTCCGCGAGGGGCCCGCGTACATTTCCCCCAGGAGGAGGGAAGGACCCAATCATTATCCGGAGTCAATGGTGAGTCCCAGACTCATGTTGTGGGTTGGGGGCAGCAGTGGTTTCTAAGGGGGTCTCCACAGCCAGGGCAGCAGGGAGAGAAGCCGGTGGGAAAGAGATGGGAAGTGAGTAGGATACAGCCTGTAAGGTGAAGCTGCTTCCCAGGCCCACCCTGGGGGCTTCTGAGAGATGAGAGATGTGGCGGGAGGGCTCTCCAGGCTTATCCCTTGTGTAAGTCGGGATGCCCAGGCTTTTGTTTCTTTGTTTGTTTTTGAGGTGGAGTTTTGCTCTTATTGCCCAGGCTGGAGTGCAATGGCGCAATTTCGGCTCACTGCAACCTCTGCCTCCTGGGTCAAGTGATTCTCCTGCCTCAGCCTCTCAAGTAGCTGGGATTACAGGCTTGTGCCACCAAGCCGGCTAATTTTGTATTTTCAGTAGAGACAGGGTTTCTCCGTGTTGGTCAGGCTGGTCTCAACCTCCTGACCTTAGGTGATCCACCCGCCTCAGCCTCCCAAAGTGCTGGGATTATAGGCGTGAGCCACCATGCCTGGCCAGGCTTTTCAGATCAGTGCTTCCACCTGGCCAATCAGAAGCCCCCAGGAGCCGCATACCTCACCACCACCCATCTAAGTGCCTCTCCGTGGTGGGGCCCTCCCTGTAGACGCTGAGCTTTTTGAGGATGAGGATGAGGATGGCTATGTTTACCACTATATCTCGAGGGTCAAGTCCAGGGCCACCCACAGGGCTGCAGTTCAGCAACTCTTACAGAGAATGGGTCTGATCCTCACTCTACCCTCCCTGCTCTGCTCCACCCACGCGAGCCTCTTTCCTCCATCTTGCACCTGCCTCAGGGCCTTTGCACAGGCTGTTCCTGCTACCTGGATGCCCGTCCCTTTAGCTCACTCCCTCACTTCCTGCCCAAATGTCATGTCCTTGAGATCTCCCTAGAAACCCAGGACTACCTTCCCACCTTCCACACTCCCTCGCCCTCTTGCTATGAGTTTCTCTATGACATGTATGAAATATTTGTTTATTGTCTGTCTTCTGCCAACTGCATTATAAGCTCCCCAAGAGCAGGTGCCTTCTTTCGTGCACAGCTGTATCTCCAGAGTGGTGCTTGCAGGCAGCAGCTTCTCAATAAACTCTTGATAAATGAATGAATGAATGAATGAATGAATCACCATCCCTGGCCAGAGAAGGAGCACAGGGCACTGGGCCTAACAGGGGAAACCTGTTCCCTTTAGACTCAGCTGGCATGCAGGGGCCAAGTGGCCTGAGTTTGGCACCAGGGATTTCATCCTCTCCTTCTGTAGCAAACGGTCACCTGCTTCCAGGCCACCCTGTTCCCTCCCTGCTGGTGGCCATGGCTGCACCAGCCCTCTCAGACTGAAGACCCACTCTGATCTTTGGGACCACACTCCTCCAGGTCCTCCCCACGGTTTCTGGCTGTACCCTCACTCTCAAGACCAACCTCCCCTCCTCCTCCCATCATCTCAGGCTCCATCTGCAAAGGTGGAATCAGAGAGAGGCTCAGACTGTACTGGGCAACCAAGCCAGTGTTCCATTTCAAATTGACGTTTAAAGGATGCCACTTTTAATTATGCTTGAGTGCAGTGTACCCTGAGGCCTTTTGTGGTAAATGGCTCTCAATAAACCCAGTTTATTCATTAATTATTATGAATTATTTTCTTAAGTAGTGGCAAGGGGAGGCAGGGCCACCCTCAGACCGCAAGTCGCACATTGACTGTCAAATCCTCGATGAGCAGGCTCGGAGGAGCTGCCTGTGCTGGCTTCAACCAGCTCGCCTGGCCCCGGGCTGGGGTGCAGGAGACTCTGGACTGAGGCAGGGCTTCCAGAGTGTGGGGCAGGGCTGAGGGAAAGGAGGGCCTGGAGGAGCCATGGGCCACACCAGACAAAAATACCTTCCACCAGGGTGGCACTTCACCTTTGGGAA